CTATCTGAATATGGAAAATATTACACTAGCATGTGGCAGTTAAATGACTACTTAAAAGAGAAACCTCCTGTGGTACCTTCAATATACAGACAAATTGAAAGGCAGTCTTCTTCCTTTGTATTAACTCTCTTTTCAGTTTCATTCTCTTCCATACAAAATAATAATTAGTTCTTCATATTCATGAATTCCCTTGTTTATATTGTTTTTACAGTAGCTTCTTGCCAGGTTTTAAAAATCCTGGCTCTAAAATCACTATTTTCACATCACTCTGCTGAAGAAATGACTACAAATATCTATCATTCAGATATATATATATTTTTCCTTTCTCTCAATTTTTTAAAATATATTTTATTAATTATTTACAATAACAATCTTTAGTGCTTAGTGAACAATGTGTTGTCTGGGTTCATATATTTAAAAATAATCAATAATAATTAATTTCTATAATTGATCAATATATTAGTTAATAATATATTTCCTTGATCCTCTCTTCTTCCACTAATATTCTCCTTTTGTCTACATTAAACAAATATAATTCTTAATACTTTCAATACATACTGAGTTGGGTATAAACATTTTTCTTGTATTTGTACATATAACTATAACATCAACATATAACATCTTTTCTAATCAGCTTATGTTTCAATTGTATTTATAGAAGTCATCTTATTGTCATTACAGTATATGTCCTGTTTTCAAAATTCTTATTTAAGCTTAATTTCCCTTCATTATTGAAGCCACTCTTATCAGTCATAATTTTCTCAAAATTTATTATCTTTGAATATCCAAACTTTTTATTCAAATACACCATCTCAATATTTTTACATTTCATATATTATAAAAGTATTATACTACTTATATACCTTATCCCTCTTACTATAGGGCCCCTTTATGTCCAAGCTTTATCTATTCTTTTAACCATGTTCAAACAAGTATTTAATCATATAGTACACCATCTAGCAATTTTACTATAGGGCCTCTTTATACCCAAACTTTATATTTTTTAACCATATTCAAACAAGTGTTTAGTCATACTGTATAAATTGAATCACATCTCTTAAATCTAATTCTAATCTTCTTTTGCCAGGTTGCTTTCCAAATCAATAGGTTTAGCTTGCCAGGTTGTATTTTTGTAGATATTGTTGGGGATAAAAAAGACAAAATAAGTAGAATATTCGTTTTTGTCTCCCACGCTTTAATGATTCTCCTGACAGCTCTTTAATCCATTTTATTAAATCTTATTTTTTGTCCTCAAGTTTGTTTTGAAGTCCTGGAAGGTAAAACATCTTTTTTATTTCCTTTGTTGTAGCAAAATTTTGCGGATTTTCTTTTGTTTGTATTAAGTTGTAGTTCTCTTCATTTGTAGCTTCCATATTTAAGTCATTTTCCTCTGGTTTGTATTCTATTGTCTGATTTATTTGTTCATTCTTTATCATCATTTTTTGAGAATTGTTTAATTGTGAGTTTAGGTTAGAGATACGTTCATTTATGTTATCTAAGTTGTTTTTAATCTCATCATGATTTAAGACAATTGTCATTTGAATCTGTCACAGCACTGCATATATTTTCTCCTGGAACGTATTTATTTTGTCTTGAATCATTGTTCCTGCAGATCTCTGATGTTCCACACTGGGGTCTTCAGCAGGAGGTGTTAGGGGTGGTTTTCTGTCACTTTTAGATAAATATAGAACATCCATTTTGTCTCCTTCTTCTAAGTAGTTATTCACCGGTACCATAGTCTCTTTAATTAGCTTTATCAAACCAGCACATCTTAAAATCCAAACAACCAAATCTTGTGTAGTTCTTATCTTTATATATGGTTTTTGTAATCCAGTATGTTTCCAATTATCAAAGCACCACTGAAAACAGTATTTTGTAACAGTTATTCTTTTCAGGGGTCTTATGATTATCAGCCAACCAAAGTTTCAGTCCAAAGTATTTAACCACCTTAAAGCTTTCCAATAACTTCTCCTTTAGAAGATTAACCAAAGGCCAAGTTTTTTCTTTCTCTGCAAACAGTCTTTAACTTAAAAATGCAGTATATTTATAATCCCAGAGGGTCAACAGTTTCTAAACTTATATAATTTCACTCTGTAGTAGATAGCCCAATGCTTTGTTCCCAGCTGTTTTTTGCTATTTCTGGACATCTTGCCAAATTCTGAGTCAATCTTGCTATAGTCTTCTCTAATCCTCCAGTAGGTGTCAGTAGCTGTTGTTTTTCCAGTTTTTAAAGCAAAGAGTTATTGTTGTTATTATTGTTATTATTATTATTGTTATTGTTATTATTATTATCATTATTATTATTATATAATTTCATCAATACTTTTTCAGGTATGGAATTTTAACAGTTGTTTTAGTTTTCAAATTTATCCAGACTGTAGTATTTTTAACCTCATTTCAATAATTTTTTGTTTTCCATAGGAGTTTAATTCGCTGCTTCCGTTTATGGGAGGGTGGGGGTGTAGTCCCCTCCCTTCTCACTTTGGGAGGATTTTTGCTTTTTGTGAATCTTTTCCAGGAAATCAGATACAAAATAGGAGAGAGAATATTGAATTCTTCACCCAGTTTCAAGCATGCTGTTCACTGTTGTTCTGATTAGTGCCTTTGGATTTTGGCTGCAAGTAGTTTGGGCTGGTCACCGAGGTGTGGCCATCTTTTCTTCTGTCAGGTTAGAGGGTTTCCCCCAGATTGAGCGGGAAGACCACTGTCGTTCTGCGATCACCAGGGCACTCCTCTTTCTTTGTCACCTCTCCGGGGCGACTTTAGATCCATTTAGGGTACCCTGGCAGGGTGAAACTAGCCTTAGGGTGCGGAGCTCCGCAATCCCTCGGCCATGCGCTATGGTGCAAAACCGGAAGTCCTTTATCTCAATTAAAAGGCATTGTGGAGTTCCTCTTTCAATTCTCTACTCAATGCAGAATTTACAATACTGGATGCAGTTATATTATTCCTGGCAAATAGCAGCCTGGCTGCATTTAAATATCTCCGGTCAAAGAGAGAGGCCAATATCTCTCAATAATTAACAGTAAAGGAACAGACAGTTAAGCAATATGCACAGACCAGCACTTGGTAGAGCAGCCATGAAAGCCTTGGAAAAGGTATTCAGATGCTACAATGTGCCTATATCTATAAAGGTCAGAACCCTATGGAAGTGCAAGTTAGATTTTGAAGAAGCAGCATATGAAGAGTATTGATACTGTTGAAATTCTGTGTCAAAGACTCCTGAGAATACCCTTGACAGCTAAGAAAACAAACAAATGGATCATTGAACAAGTCAAGAGTTCTGAGGTACAAATGATCCAGCTCATACTTCAGACACATTATGTGAAGACCCAGTTCTCTGGAGCTGGGAAAGTGAAAGGGGAAAAGAAGAAAACCAACAGTAGTCAATTATTGTGGCGATGGGTGCACCACTGGAAAGAACTGAAGGACCAGGGACAGATCATCATACAAAAAAATCTATCTATGTGGCTGCTAAGAGTCGACACCAATATGATGGCACATACTACAGTATTTCACTGTTCTTCTTGTGGAGTTTCTTCTAAAGTTTTTCTGGGATGTGCTTTTCTGAAGTTCTACTAATTACTTATTTTTCTCTTTCCTTTTCTGTGAGATAACTTTTAAGCCACCATGTCTTTTTTTAGCTTTCCTTGTTCAAACTAAGTCCAGAATTTTCATTTATTTCTCCTAAGATTGGGTTCTAGATCCTTTAACATTCTGCGCAACATCCTTTTGATTCACGTTCATTTGTTCATATGCTTCTTAAAAGAACTGAATACTCAATAATGCCCAATGCAGAGAAAAGTAAATATATATAATGTGGGTAAACAAGGAAAAGAACATGGACATGTATGCAAGTCTGAACCAAACATTCTGTAAAGTATATGCAAAATTATTTGTAAGCATATTCAGCTTACATACATTATATACTTCTTACAATTAGGAGCTCTGCAGCAAAGCACGTAGGAAGTCAAAGTGTTAAATAAAATAAAGTAATAGCAAACATCAGATGCTTGAGGATTTTAGTTGTTTGTTTTTTATTTGACAAAATAAAAAGATGACTTGAACTTGCATGAAAATATATTGTGCCTTATCACCAATCATGCACAAGTAAAAGGGGCAAAGCCACAGAAAGTATGGTTCAGCAGAACTTCTAAACTATGAACCTAAATACAACTTATCCAGAACAAGGTGACACTTTAAACCAAACAAACAAACTAAAAAAAAATTATCCTGTTTTATCCAAACTCATTCTATGTATGTTTCCAAAACAATTAATTAAAAATCCTAGAAGAGTATAAAAAGTAGGACAAAAGATTTTCAGAGTTGTGCATTTTGTACATAACTAGACTTCTAATACATCTTGAATCTTTCAGGTTATCCATTTCTTCTTTCTGGTCTCTAGTCAGCATGTTAAATTAGATTACCATAATCACTCTCTTGAAAATAAGAGAAAAAATTTATTCTCCTAAATTTAGTTGCAGAAATTCGTATCAGAGCTTCATTTTATGGCTGTTTATAGTCACATATCCAAATTAATTATTATATAAGGAATCCCAGAAAATATTTAAAAAGTATATATGATAAAAACACATTTGTATATATTGTGCTGAGCAATACAAATATACTAGATATTATTAGAAAGTTTACGACTATAATTGCATATTTATCTAACAAAACTATCAATCCACTTGTTTGAAACATATATGCCAACTAATTTATTCTTTCTAGACTAATGAAGTAAATGAAATATGAATGAAAATCTTGCATATATGGCTGTAGCTATAAATGACTGGCAACCTGACTTGGCTAAGACTCATACTGTTAAAAATATTCAGCAAAATTGTACATCAATTTCTGTCAAAAGAATTGTACATTAGTAGATAATACTATCCTCATTAAGCTAATGTTTAAAGATTTAGTTCTTTATAAACACCACTTTAATTAAAACAGCAGACACTAATTCACAATGGGAAATATAATCTATTGATAACATTTACCTGTGGACATAATGTAGCTGATGTACAGAATCAATTGCTACCACCATTTCAGCTAAATAAAAGCGAGCCATTTCTTCAGGTAACCGGTCCTCAAACTTACTGAGCAAGGTAAGCAGATCTCCACCAACATAATAATCCATAACGAGGTACTAGGAATATAGAAAACAATTTTGATAGAAACACAAATATGCATTAAATATAACAAATTGGTTAAGACCAAGAGCTGCCTTCTCAGAATGAGAAAGGTAAATCTTCTGGAAACAGGTTCTTTGTATATCCTTCATCATATAACATCTCTTTCAAAAAATTTGCCCCAATATTTTTCTTTTCTAGACAAAGACTATATGAGAAGTACAATGATGCTAGAGCAAAACACTACAGAAGAGCTTTGCTATCAACAAAAAATATTCCGTGGCTTATTCTTCCCTTATATCTATCCGTCATCTGCTACAAAATACAAAAATAAAGCACAGCAATATCTAATTGCTTGAAAGACTGGAGTGAGATATGAAGTGTCATGCTACTCTTCAAAGTTATATAAAAAGGCAACTTTAAAAGTATGGCTAATTTACATATAGCTAATTTATAAAAAATCCACTTCCATATCAGTTCTTGGGATCATATATTACTAAGATCTGATGTATTTTGACTGTAGCATTTTTTAAAAAAAGGAGTAAGATGGGCAGATATTATTCAACAAAACCTTTTAAAAAAATAATTGAGTCACACTATTGTAGCACTTCACAAGTGGCTAACTTCTTGTGCCATGAGCAGCTGGCCAATTGCGGCTTTTAAATCCTGCTAGAAGTAATGTCATGTGCTTCGATAATTCATTTCTCCATTATGAAGTTATGTGCAGATAATACAGAAGATAAACATTTTTGTCTATGCATTGGAACAATTAACAACTGCTTGTATGGTGGCACAGCAGCATAATTGCTACTTAACTATTTTAGTTATCAGAAACAGTACATTACAAGTAAACAGGTAAATTGAAGTTAGACATTATGTTCAAAAGTTACTTTTAAATAATACTCACTAAATAATTTTCATCCTGGAAGGCATAGTGCAATGTTGTAATCCACTGATTATCCCCATTCACCAAAACATCCCTCTCTTCTCGAAAACAAGCTGTCTAAAGGATAGATAAATATAATTATTATAAACAAAATGCAGAGTCATTTAGAGTTCTTTTCATTTAAACAATAATACTGAGGATAAAGGAAATAAGATTATCATGTAATAATTTTTCATTACAGCTATGATAATCCAAAGCAAAAAGGGTATAAAATGTGACTAAAATAATAAAAATACTTTTAAAATTATAAAATTGCAACAACAGTTCTTGTAAAGCTACAGCTGCATATTAAAAACAAGAATGGCAAGAAGTATGAAACACAGCTACATAGTCTCAATGTCTCAAGTAAATTACTTAATGTCTCAATTAAGGGTACTACTATCAAAAACACACTGTCCTGGGTTGCCGCATAGTAAATCCTGCATAAATAGTAAATGAAGCACCCTCAGAATAGCATTCTTCCTATAACTTAATTACTATAAGAGAAAAAACAATTATGAGGAGACTGCATATTCTGAATTTACCAACAGTTGGATTCATTGAATGACCTGTATTATGTATAGAATTAATATGTCACAATCAGAACTAGCAATTAAGAATCTTACCAGAACTAAGAAAATGCAAAAAAGGTAAAAAAAAATCAAAGAAGAAATATAACAGTTTTTTCCTAATTAAAAATTACATCAATTTAGGCAGAAGTACTTTTTTTTGGTGTATCAAACATCTTTAATCATTTAATGTGATTTTCTGACTTGATTTAAACCACTACAAGGAGCAAACATCAGTAAGTAAGTGATGGTCGTCTTCCCAAACAGATTTGGCAACATCAAAAAAGAACGTGGGAATGTAAAAAGCATTTAATTTTTTGTCAAAAAGCTGACTTTGTCAATCATCTATTGGACACTATGCAGATGATTCTAATCCAAAAGTATGAACCAAACAGACAAAAATGGATGCCCACTTCTGGTGTATGTAAACCTTTCTGGCAAGTGGTTCAAAAAACAGAAGTAATTTATTGGAAATTTGATCTGCATGTTGTCCTGTGATCAAACATCTGTTTCAGTGTTTATAAGATGAACAGAAGAATAATAAACCTGTTTTACAAGATGATTAATATAGACCATTTAACAGTAATAAATTACGAAAATGAAAACTATGACAGTAACATATTGTAAAATTTCATAGTCTTTCAAGAAATATTACATTTAGAAATAATCTGGGTTTTTCCTTTAAGCTTGTCAGATTCTAATTAAAAGAGAAAAAAAAGTTACAAACTTAATAGCCACTTGACCATTCCTTGAGTCTTACCTCTGCTCTTTTCAGCATTTCCCATTTATTTAATATTTTCATGGCAAATACTTTATCTGCATTTCTTAATTTCACAACAGCAACCTGCAAAAATTAAATTATTTTTTTTTAAAAAGTGGACATAAAATATTAATTTCTCAGAATGCCATTGGAGATGCATTTATAATCCTACAGTTTATTTTAGTTATAAACAAATACAGGTAGTTCTCACTTAATGGTCAGTTGGTTAGCGACCATTTGAAGTTATGACAGACATCCCCAGAGCTACTCACAACCCATTTTTGATGTTCTTATGGCCACACACCCTCACCTCAATCACATGATCACATTTTGGGTATTTGGCAACCATCTCGCATTTATGACTGTATGCAACATCCTGCAGTCAAATGACCATGATTTTTGGTTACTTTTGCCAGTTTCCAGTGTTTACTTCTGATTTCTGGCAAAAAAGCTCATTGGGGAAAATGGACCAGTTCAACAACCTGTGTGTTAGCTTAACGACCACAGTGTTCACTTAATGACTGCTGCAAAAAGGGTCATAACATTGCATGCAATTACGTGATGACCCACTTAATGTCCGCCATGATTTATGAGTGTAATTCCAGAGTGAAATTCCAGTCATACGTTAAGGACTACCTGTATACCACCATGGTGCAATACGTGTTTTACCAAAACAGACAGAATATATTACAATTGTTAACATTCTTCCAATATAGTAGAGCTTAAAAGTTTGTGAACCCTCCTGACCTTTCAATATTTCTGCACAAGTATGACTGAAAAATTCATTTGTTCCCCACAAAAATCCTGAAATTAGATAAAGAGAACCCAATTAAGCAAATGCCTCCATTATCGGCATGCTATAAGTGTCCCTCAGCATTGTTAACCAGCTGAAAATGCCCAGTCCTCCATGCCAAGGCCCTCCAACCAGCCATCTAATACAGCTGCCAGCAAACTCTACAAAGGAAAAAAAATCCACTGGGGGAGAAATGCCAGCAGCAAAGAGAACACAGTACATAGAGTGGTCATAGAAACAGTAAGCACAGTCGGCACCAGGCCCACAGGCATGGCAAACATGGTTAGCACAGCCAGGGTAACAAGCATGGCCCATCATCTGGCCCATTACTCCAGCCCGAGCAGGTTCAAATCTAGGCCCAAGCCAAACCAAATCCGACCTTAATCCAGGTAACTGCCAATTGAAACTTGCTGTACAGCTATACAATTTAAGAGGACAATCCGTCTGTGGCTCCTGCTGTCTCCATTAAACGTAAACCTTTTGAAAAGGCCCTTAATTCCTTTGCCCATCTGGATTTCTGTACACAAAATTATACGTGTGGAAGCAAAAGACACATGGTGACACTGGTATGTAGGGAGATTTTCAGTGAAAGCATTGCCACAGGCATATAGCTGTCCTTTCAATAATTGCCTTTCAATAATTGCCTTTCAATAAATATAATGTAAAGTCTTAAAATGAATGTCAGGATAAAAAAAGACATGGGGAATTTTTATTCTAAATACAATATTGATAATTCTTCTTGTTTTAACAACACTCAATTAAGACTCATACTTCCTACATTCTTAAAAATTCTTTATACTAAAATACATTCCGAAGATAACAAACCTAGATATTTCAAAGAAGTATTTACTATATTAGCTTCTAGTCCAAGCTTGAGCTCAAATAACAAGTTCATACTTTGTAAAGCAAGCTTTAATGATAAATTGTCTTTTAATGCTTTATAATACTTTGACCTGTCAAAGACATATAAAACAAAATACAGACACAGACGTCCCTTTGCAAAAGTGAGTTTATTTTATTTTTATTCAATGTAAAAAAGAGAAAAAGGTGAGAAGCCTCAAAAGTACACATTTCTTGTATGTTACTTTAGAATAGATAATGTATATAAAATTTAATGTATATGTAGAGATAATGAATTTATTGTAAAATATGGTATAATCTGATAAGAATGTATATATTTATTTATTATTTATTTATTTATTTATTATTTGAATTTATATCCCGCCCTTCTCCTTGCGGACTCAGGGCGGCTGACAATCAATTAAAAACACCACTAACAATCACAAGTTAAAATTAATTAAAATGAAATATTTAAATTGTCTAATTAAAATGTAATTAAAAACCCCTCTAAAAACCCCTCTTAAAAATTATCCTAGGCC